ACACTTAATTCTGCCTTATTAATAAGCCTCGCCGCTACACTGCTGTGAGAGAGAAAAGTATAATTCATTATCAAGTTGCATATAGAATGTTTACAACACACAGTTCCAGATGAAGATGACTTGCAATCTGTTCTGTCATCCTCAGAGTGTATAGGATACCTATTTTAGAAGGGAGAGTCTTTAAGGTATGGGTGACAAATCAATTTCAGATTTGACTGATGTGACAGACCCCAACTGCTTCTGCTCAGCAATTAAAACCAAGCATCAACCTTGAAGGGGAAGAGAATGACCAGGTTAACTCCTCTGTTCAGGACATCATCGAGATGTATACTTAAGTCACCACAGGAAAACTGCAACAGATAAGTGAGATACCACAGCAGCTAAAATCCATTACTACCCTAACCCTAAACCTGCACTATAAAAAACAATCATTACACATTACTGAATTAAACCAGGAGTTTAAGTATTTCAGTAACTTGCAAATGTACTCACATCCTTGCTATGGTATCACAATTTTGCCAAATTGGAAAATGGTGTGATGGACAGGAGTTGTGTTATGCGGCCTAAGCACTTGTAAAATCACAACGGCCCACAGATGTATCATGAAAGGAGACTGACAGACAATGCCTTTATTTATTTAAGCCTTACTCTAAACTAACACCAACTATCACTATGAGCCCTTTAATATGTCATGCTAGTCTAAATTAAATTAAACTTTGAATATAACTTTCACCCATTCACCAATTAAGCACAAAAATGAAATCATTAATTCACTACATGTAATCCCACATACAAATAATAGAGGCCTTAATGACTTTTAGTCATTAAGTAATTTTTTCTTATTGGATTTGGTTGAGCTCTCTCAACTTTCTTGGTAATTGCTTGGTATTTCAGCTTTTTTCCACAGATTTTAGTAGAATTGAAGATTGGACTTCTGTTTTGGAACATTGACCTGTTGAAGCGTACTTTTTCTTCCCAGTTTTAAGTCTTTAGCGGATGAAATCAGGTTTTCCCTCTCAAGCTTGCCTGTACTTTGCCTGTACCATTTTCCCCTCAGTTACTTTGCCTGTACCATTTTCCCCTCAGTCCTGAAGCACATCTCAGTCCCTGCTAATGACAAGCAGCCTGATGTGACAATATGCTCCCAACTCCATGTATGACAGGACAGTGGTGTGCTATGTTAAGTTTGTCTAGACTTGTATTTAGCTCAATACATTCCAGTGTTGTCTCATCACAAAACATTTTGCCATGCTTGATGCATCACTAAAAAGCTGTGTTGCTTTTTTTATTCAGTAATTGCTTTCTTCTTGCTACTTCTTGCCATAAATGTCCTTCTTATTCAGCTGCTCAGTTTGGAGGAACATCATAAACAAGGCAAGGTCTAGGTGGTACTGTATATACTGTAATGTACCTTTAATTTCAATATGATTGAGTAGACTGTGAAGAGATTAAAAAGTGTAATAATGTTGCACCCTTCGCCCAACACAAAGATGTGTGAAACCATGAGAACCCAGACCGAGAGTACTTAATTAATTGCGTGGCTCATTATCATCAGCAGCCACATAACCCTGCAACTCACAACTGGCAACCCACTGAAGCTCAGCAGATGTGAGCCTGGTCAGTACCTGAAGGGGAAACCTTCTGGGAAAAACTAAGGTTGCTGCTGGAAGAGGTGTTAGTGGGGCCAGCAGGGGGCGCTCACCCTGTGGTCCATGTGGGCCCTAATGCCCCAATATAGTGACGGGGACGCTATACTGTAAACAGGCGCCGTCCTTCGGATGAGATGTAAAACCGAGGTCCTGACTCTCTGTGGTCATCAAAAATCCCAGGGTGTTTCTCGTAAAGAGTAGGGGTGTAACCCTGGCGTCCTGGCAAATTCCCACTGGCCCTTACCAATCATGGCCTCCTAACAATTCCCATCTATGAATTGGCTCTACTCTGCTCTCCTCCCCACTAATAGTTGATGTGTGGGCAGCGTTCTGGCGCACTATGGCTGCCGTCGCATCATTCAGGTGGACATTGGTGGTGGTGCAGGGGAGTCCCAATTACCTGTAAAGCGCTTTGAGTGGAGTGTCCAGAAAAGTGCTATATAAGTGTAAGCGATTATTATGATTATTATGATTATTTTGTACATCTGAATTAATTCAGGTTAGCCACAACAGAGGATTTGAATATTTATGCAATCATGACTTTACTATTTTATTTCATTTTAATGTTTTGTTTTCTTTTTGTTTTTTGTTTGATTTTACTTTTGCTTTGAATGTACGGAGTAGGTTGTGAACTTAATTCCACAGAGTATCAACTGCTACTTCAAAGTCAATGACTGCAACCTTTAAAGATGCAAAACGTGAAAACTGTGCAAGCCTCTGAATAATTCTGTAAGGAAATGTATCCATTGCTTACAGGCTCCTTATACGTCTAGACAAAAGGGAGTAAGTTTTACACTTACCTGTGTTATACAATAGTTACCAGTTTCAAACTTTCAAGTTTTTATAATGACAGGATGTTTGCCAATGTTAATTGCAATCTAGACAGTGGGAAAAAAAGGTTTCCATATTTCTGTTCTGAGATGTTGTTCTAAGAGAATGAGTTATTAAACTACAAGAAACATAAAGAGGAAGACAAAATTTACTGTTTTCCACTGAAATAAGGAGAAAGCTGTAATGTCAGACACCTTTAGATACACATAAGTCATCTGTTGAGTGAATACTGTCAGACTGCTACTGTATAGCATATAACTCTGAAGTTAACTGATAAGAAAATGAAAGGATACTTACTGTTAAATTACATTTGAAAACCGATCAGATCTGAGATCGGAGATGCTGTTCTATATTGACTCTCTGCTGTTCTGCTAGAAAAAACGAAGTTGGTTTTAAGCAGTTTTGAGAGCTCTAAAAATCATATTAGAGACGATAATTTACTTTATGAGACCCGCCCTGTTTTTTTCTTGGATTGTTACAAAATGAATTAATCATGTGACTTAACTCAAGTTTATTTAAAGGGGAACTGCAACACTATTTTTATATTTCGGGTTAGAAAGTTTTATGACAGTATGTGTAACCACAATAAAAGTAAACACTACACAGTAATTTGTAAAGCCTCCAATGTACATCACAAAATAGACGACGTTTCCAGGTACCGTATGTGCAGTGCCATATTCTGCGATTCAGAATAAGGCAACAAACTTTAAGTGACGTAAAGTGGCCCTACTACATTGGAAACATGCAGGCTTGTGAATACATCTCTTTTAATCCAACAGAAATATTGCTTTTGACTTTGTTGCGAGGGTCTTTGTGAACTTTGTACATACAGTACTTTTTCTGCTGCAGTATTCAATAAGGTGGACATACAGAACTGAACTGGTTTGAACTGGAATGGAAGAATGCTGGACACAAAGGCTACTATGTAATTCTATACGTTGTTATATAGGAACACCTTCTATGAAACTACATAACCAATTGTATTAAAATAAGTTATCTTTGGCAATTAGGGAACAGAAAGATGAGCATGATCCTGAAATTCTGCCAATCTGATAAGCACAGAGAAGTGTGATAAATATCAGAAAATATTAAGGAATGTTCTAATTTAATTGCTTTGAGAAAAATAAACCAAGCATCTCCGTGTGTTTTGTTCCCATGCACATGAAATAAATACTTATTTTAATTTCTGAGATGGTTTTGCTAATAAATGAAACTTACTTGCTAATTCTGCATGCCAATCACATTGGAAACTTTCTGCGGTGAAAGGTCTGTACTTCTTCGCCTGTACCTTACATTAGTCATTACATTAACTAGTGAGTAAGAAGGGCTGCATAACGTCACAATTCTCGTGAATTCGTGCTCTAATCTGTTGCAAGACCAGGGGTCTGCGACAACATAGACACTTGCGGTACTTTCACGAAGTTCACAATTCTGTGCATAATTTGGAATTTGTAAACATTTTCTACGCCCTCAAATAATTTATTTTTTTACCGATATTTAATAACCAGTCTGAGAAACATTTCTGAAATGTTAGTAAGGGGTTCCCATTAACAAAGAAATGTAGGCCAAGTTTGTCAATAAAAATGTACATGTTCCTCTCTTCTCCAATTTTATGTCTCTCGGCAATTAAAGCAGACCAAATATCCACAATCTCTCTGCCATTCAGATCACTCCTTATTGTTACTGTCCACATCACTCACTTAGAATGCATCTCTCCTCACTCTGTACAATTTAGATCAATCCACTATTTTAATTTCCACCTCAACCACAGAGCATCTCTCCTCACTCTTTCTCCTTTCCAGTTCACTCCCTCTTGCATCTTAGATCTGTCCACATCACTCAAATAGCATCTTCCCTCAGATTACTCAAGTGACTGTCCATATCTCTCACAGAGCATCTCTCCTCTGTCATAGAGTGACAAAAGTAATTGTAGAGCAGCAGGAAAAGAGGAAGGGACAATGGACCTTGTCAATTGCATGTAGTCAGTTCATTACTGTAATTATCCCCCACGTATCAGGTCTGCCTACCCCCTTGGCCAGAGGAGCTAAGGGCACCAAGGATTTGTGACACAGATTGCACTACTGGACACAGGAGAGGACTTATGGACCAGGGAGGGATTCTACAGAGCACAGCAGAGGAAGATATTGTCTTCCATTCTCTACCCTGTATTCGTTGTGGAGACATAGGGGAGAAGCATAATGGGGCACATTGCTTGGGACTGTCGGATCTGGAGTGAATGCTTCTGACCATGGAGGGACCACACAGAGTTTAACCTATTTCTTAAAGAACCAATTGCCTCCTTTTCTCACAATAAGTCACCTGGAACCGATGGGTATACAGCTGAGTTCTACCAGATACTGTACAGGTATTCTTCTTAAACTTCAGGCGGATGCTGTTTTTCCCAAGGTATTGTATAACCATACATATAGCCTGTAGACTCTCTGACACATAATTGTTGGGGTGGTAAAATCTTCCTGTGTAATTGTACAAGACTTTGTATCAGTTTTGAAAGACAACAAAAGTTTGTGAAGCACAAAAACAAAAAGGGGCATTTCTATGTTTTGCCAAGAGAGCCTTCCTGAATCAAAACCAGTCTTTATGTACAGCATATATCCAGAATGGTTTTTAATAACAAATTCTATGTATCTTGAAACAAAATGATGTATTAATTAAACAATGAGTAAGGTACAAGGTGATATGAAAAAGTACACAAATTCCTAGTTTCATGAGCTCAGTTAAGGGGAATATTTAGAATCAGCTGGATTTGGAAGGCTCCATCCTATAAGGATCGGAAACGTGAGTTTTGTGTTCATCATACAGCTGTGTGAAAAAAAAATCATACCACAATCTAAGGAAATCTCTGAGGATCTCAAAAAAGGTTATTCATGCTCACCAGTCTGAAAAATGTTGCAAAACCATTTGTTTTATCAGGTTAACATTCAAATATGTGAACATCCTAAGGGGTTAACAAACGTTTACTTGGTACTGTGTGAAAAATGATCAACTTACTTTACCACAGTAGTTTTTCATCGCATCTTTTTTTGGGCAGTAATTTAATACTTTCCCTTTAACTTATTGTAGTAGTGAGAGACGTCAGGAGTGAATTTTGGGAAAGTGGGTGGTAACTAAAATGGTGTTTAGTGATCATGTGAATCAAGCACTGCTTAGTTACTGTTTTGAGAGACGGGGTATAGATTTTTAAGGAGTGAAAACGGCTTAAAGTCAATCCTAACCACTGAGTTGAAAGCTTAAAAAATTAAAGCACTACATCACAAAATGACTATATTAAGAATGAAATGCTTTCTAGATTTGTTTTTAATTTATTTTAAGATGGGGTGTTAGGAAATCGTATCAGAATGAAATAATTTTCTTCAGATCTCTCCATCTTACTGTTACTGGTCCCCACATACCCACTTCCTTATTAATAACTTATGCCCAGAGATTTGATTGTGATCTCTTTCTCATTACCTGGAATGAATAAAGGTGTCTTCATACTGTATGTAGTTTTAATGAGGACACAGACAATTCAAAAACAGTCATATTTCTTTCAGAGCAACAGTGAGTGGAGCTCAAACCAATAACACCTACATTATCCAGTCTGTAAGTATCCTGTCATTTTCTGACCAGTTCACAGCACAGGGTAATGCAGGGTTAGGGGCTGTATTATAGAGTCAGACAGAACAGTTATTCCACCTGTATTACCTTTTAATATGTATCTGAAGGGTCTGACATCAGAGTTATGTTTTTTTTTTTCAGCAGGCAAACAGTGAAATTAATAACTCCTCCTTCTTTCACTTTGTGTTTCCTGAATTTTAAAGGCGTTTCTCCTTCTCTCTGAACAACATCTCCAAATACAGGAAAGAAAAACATTTTTTTCTACAGTCTGGACTACATTTAATACTGTGAACATCCTGTCAGTATAAAACCAGGTAGTGTGACTCCGCTGTCAGTGTTATTTCATGGATATACTGTACAAGGAGACAGGAGACACTGTATACAGTACGTCTTAAACTTGTGGGTGTAATTCATTGTTACATACAGTACAGTATAGCGATGCTTCTTTCTTGTAGTATAGGGTTTACAGTCAGAGTAGTAATTGTTTTTACCTGCTATGTACTGGTGTGACAGTGAGATCAGGACATATACAGCAGCATGTGAGTAAACAGACTGATCACAACTGAAGCTGCTCTGTGTGGACTGTCAGTGAGATTAGGTCTGATACAGTAGTGTGTGAGACAACAGCCATTGCAGAATTGAAGCTGCTGTGTACTGGACTGACAGTGAAATCAGGTATGATAAAGCAGTGTGTGAGAGAACAGTCATGTTAGGACTGAAGCTGCAGTGTGCTGAAGAGACAGTGAGATCAGGTCAGAACCAGCCATGTAAGAGTGAAGAGCTCAGGTCAATATACCTGAGGCACTTTGGAACTGACAGCCTGTCTACAGAACAATGGCTCAGCAGGGGAGACAACCAAAGCATCTTGTTGCTTTGTCTTTGTATTGCATGGGTCTCTGTTGTGAGCCAATAGGCAATTTAAGACATTGTACTCAAGAAAATTCAAATGCAAAGAAGTATTCCTGGAATAATGACCAAGTGTGAATTTCTGTTTCAGAGATGAAGTCTGACCAATCAGACTGGCTCTCCACGATGCTTATATTTCTTCTCCAGTTGTCTGTCTCCAGATCAGGTACAGTGAGGATAGACTCCTAAATGTAATTAATAATTGAATCTGGTAATCTGGATGATAATCCCTGCATGGATATTGAACTTTTTCTTTGCATTCCATATATTGTCTGTATCTGTATCCATCTCAGAGTTGAGCTTTGAGCTTTGTCACTTTACAAATCATATATATTGGATGTACTGTAGGAATGACTACTCAAGTCTTTTGACCTAAAGAATTGTGCAACATTGTTCTATTTTCTTACCAAATAATTATAAAGAACAACGTTTTCTTTCGTTTAGTTACTGTCTGATGGACTTCTTTCCTTCTGCCTTACGGTTCAGCTTCTTTACTGCCTCTTTATACTCTCTGTGAAAACTCATGTCAGATGTATGTTCTTTCTCTTTTAGAGAAATTTAATGTTGTTGGTCCAACTGCTCCTGTTGTTGTATCTCCTGGTGAAGACACTGTTCTGCCCTGTTACCTCTCACCAAACATCAGTGCGGAGCTCCTTGAGATCAGGTGGTTTAGAGAGAATTATGATGCTCCTGTGTGTTTTTACCAAAACCACACATACAACCATGATGGACAGAGCCCACCCTACAAGGGCAGGGCTGAGCTGTTCCTGGATGAGCTCCCCAAAGGTAACGTGTCTCTAAAGCTGAGAGACGTGAGGCTCTCTGACAATGGGCAGTATAATTGTTTGGTGGAGTCCAAACAACATTATGAAGATGCTCTAATTGATCTGGCCATTAGAGGTAAGTGTTTTGTCACAAAGCAATTTCTTTATTTATACTGCTTTTCATAATTTTAGACAACATGCTAAGTGTGTTAATATCGATTTTCAGGTATTATGTATTGAAATGTTCTAAATGAAATTTATTGACCAAGATTGTGAATACACAGTTTTTAACTTTGGTTGTATATTGTTATATAGTTCATCAGGAGTTCCAAACTGGCCATGAGATTGCTAGCCAATAAAATACTGTGGCAAGCTGGTAGAAAAAGGGACTGCTAATTACAAAAGGCTTCTAATTACTGTAAATACCCACACTGTGTGTAATAATTGTGATTGTGATTAGTGATGAAGGCTGATTGGGCAAAACATTGGGGTTCAGTTAAGGTTTGTGTGGTATACAAAGAGTGGATGGGATTTTAAAAGCTTTTCTTTTGTAGTGAGATTCTAAAAAAAGATCTGAAATAAAACCTCCTTCTCTGCCCTGACCTTGACAGCCATTGTGTGTTTTTGTGTTCAGTGTCAGATGTGCCAGAAATATCTCTCCTGGGTTTATAAAGCACAGATGTCAGTTTAAACCTGTGTGCAATGTATACGGTATAATGATTGGTCGAATCAGAACTCAGTTTGTGACCAAGGAGCTGGAGCTCTGGGGCAATTACAAAAGCAGCAGAATCACAAATTTCACAAATTATATTGACATGTTTCTTTATCTTATATACATACAGTATAATCAACAGTTGTTTAACCTTAGACCAGTATTGTAAGAATGAGGACATCTGCATGCACTCCTTTAGCATGCCCATGTGTTAGAGAAAATGTAGATAGCTCCAGTCCTCAAGTGCTAGGTCCCTGCAGATATTTAAAAAAATTCAATCATCACTTGATTAAGACCATGTACAAGGCTCTGGTCCCTTGTTAGGGAATCTAGTCTGTGTCGATAGTTGAGTGTAGTCTATATCTCTTCCATGGAAGATGGAAGGTCAGCCTAGGGAAACTTTTTAAAAAGTAGAGTGTTTCTGAAGAAAAGCTGAAAAAAATATATTTTTTAAGACGTAATACTGAGCCTTAGTGTGAAGGAGAGATCCGGCAATAGTTTTAGTCGGCTCTTTTAGGGAGCGCAAAAAAAGAAAGTTCAGGTACTGTAGGCTGCAAAGGAACAGGAAATGTTTATTCCATGTTGAAAGGAAAAGAAACAATGAGACACAATGTTTCGGCTGTGGATCCTTCTTCTTTTCTTTTCCTTTCAGCATGGAAGAAACCTTTTCCAGTTTCTTTGTTGGTAATTGTATTGGGGGCAACATTCCCAGTAGGCTGTCAGAAGAATTACAGTAGGACAGAACATTATTTCTGGTCTTTGGGAGCCCCCAAGTGGCACTTTCTGGGAGGAAAAGAAGTCTGTTGTTCCACAACCAGGAACATGTCTGACTTATTTTCCACCTATTCAGTTAAGGAATTAATGTCTATGAAGTAATGAAATTCATGAACTAAAAATGAGGACATGGGATTGTTTACCTTCTGGTAGAAACCTTTATTTTCTTAACTCTGTGCGTCTCCAGTACCTAACCTAAAGATATAAGATAATAACTAAAGAGCTGTACAACTCTTATTGAAAGCCTTATAAAAATCATTGTTGCATAGTAGTTGTTTCTTTCTCTGTTTCAAACCCTCTGGATGAATGACAAGACTTTGTAACAAAATTGTAGAATTGTATCAATTTTTTATAATTATTGGCAGCGGTTTCAGTGTCCCTGTACCACACTGGAGGAGATCAGACCTGGTTGCTGTGCACATCAGAGGGGTGGTTTTCTGAACCTGCAGTGATCTGGATAGACAGGAATGGAAAAGAGACAACATCACTGTCCAACACCACAGTGGAGAGAAACAGTCAGGGGCTCTTCAATGTGAGCAGCTACATCCCAGTCAGTCAGGATTCCCAAATCCTCTCCTGTCTGGTTAGAAGTGTTTCACCTGAATTAGACTGGGGATCTCAGCTTCACATACCTAGTAAGTACTGACTATGCACTGGACAGTTTTCAAGGTTGAGTTCGTGTTAGCCGTTAATACCACCTGTTTTTATCATCTATACTGAGCAGCAAAAGAAATGTATCACTTCTAAAGGCAAATTCACAAAGATATCACAAAAATGTCTTTTTTTGCATCAGGTTTTTCTTTATATTAAATAGATATGACATAGTAAAATGCATTTATGCTGATGCACATTTGTGATCAACTACAGTAGGAGTGAAAGTCACAGGGTTACTACAGTATGTTTGCGGCTTCCATTGGAAGCAATACAGCCTATGCATCAGCAGCTTATGTTGCAGCTCAAGATGTTTCATATTGGTTCAGTTAAGGTTTGTTTTGTAAACAGAGTGGATGGGATTCAAATATAGTCTACCTGCCAAGCATGTACCTGTTCCCTGGTCTCCGATTCTATTCTATTGCTAAACATCATTCCAGACCCTTCCAAAATTTAGTGACATGTTGGAAGTACAGTATGTGGCTCAGAGATCAGGCGATGTCTGGGATGAGACCTATGCCATCAGGCATCCAGAAGCCTGGTGATAGGCAGGCCTCGTGACAACCAAAGCCTAATACTGAGCCCTGAGCACTGGAGGAACTGGGAATAAATAGAGGGAGGCAAAATGAGGCACACCTGGAGAACATAATCAGCAAAGACAGACCTAATGACAGGAGTAGTGGAGCGCCCTCTAGGGGAGGGATGTTGACCGTGACACCTAACCCAGTAACATAACTTGGAGAGTCTTTGCATTTTACCCCCCTTATTTAATGTGAGGAAACGCAGAATTGGGCTGCACTATCCTCTTTTATAAAGTTCTAGACAATTGCATCTTAATCAGATGTTAAACATTTAATCAGATGTACTAATGAGGAAATGATACAGCGTACTTCAAGTGGTTAAAAAAATACAACTGTGAAAACACTTGCCACTTTTGCCGGCATCAAAATAATTATTCTTCATTGTCTAACTTTACATGGGAATATATAGGGTGTTTGGAAACTTCTAGTAAATCTTTGTAGATGGTCAGTGGCTTTATCTGTGATAGTGATTGTTTTTGTGGCAAATGACAAAATCACCTCAGTTCGAATACAGTGGTACCTTAAGGGTAGGTGACACAATATATACTAATATGACAGTGTTCTCGCAAGTCTGTCCTGACTGTAGGGTGTTGAATCGGGGTACCCAAACAATAAAACTGTATGTATATTATGTTATAATTTGAACAGAAATTATATTTTACATTTAAAAGTAGTCTTTTAACCTCTGCATGTTACTATTCCCTGTCTGTTTTCCAGGAGACTTTTTACCTGAACCCTCTGGATGGATGGTGACTCTCTTCTTAACAGCAACTGTTATTGCAGCAGCATCAGCACTTTTGGTCTTCCAGTGGAGACGAATGGACAGTATGTAAAGCATCATTGTATACGTGTTAGAGCAGGAGCCTGTATTAGTGTTATTGAATCTATTGTCTGTTTCATATTGACACTGGAAATCTGAATACTATTATATTAGTGTGACTAAGCTGTATGAGTGTTACTGACTCAACTGTCTGTCTTTTTTACAGAGGAAGAGACACTGTGTATAATGAAAGGTAAGTAACTCAATAAAGATGGTGTTGAGAATTGTTTCTCTGGAGTAGTATCTCAGCTCATTTATATTACTTTAAACTTTTTTCACATGATATTAATGATTTTTTGTCTCTGAAAGATGCAGATATTTTTTTTTATGTTTTACAGCACTTAAGTAAATATATAAGGGATATGAGTTTATCTTTATATTAACAATTTTATAAAATATATTGTACTTTTTTAGGTAAATCACCCTTTTAATGTACTATGTTCCTAAAATGGTACAGTTTAACTATTAATCCAGTACTAATTATTAGAACTTATTATAACTTTAAAGTAGCAAATGATTCACTGAATCTGTAAGTAATGAATTGTTATTTAAGTGCCAAGCTCCAGATAAATAAAGAGTCAAACACACCATCAGCAAGCCAAAAACAATGACATTGTGAAGTTTGTGTGCCTGGATATATTGAGGGAACAATAATAAGAAATAAAGGTAATATAAAAGGAATGCAAAGCAAAACAAGAATTAACTCACCGGTAATAAGGACAAGCCTATACAAGTGCTAAAGAGCACAAATCTAAAAAAAAGTGAATGGTCTATTGCAACCATTTACTGTAACTGGGTGTGTCTATAATACTACAAAAGGAATTTGAGAACCTCTTCAAGAATGATAAGATGTTTTTTTCTTGTCTTTAACATGGCAAACAACAGTTTGTGCTAGAAAAGACAGACCAATCTTTTTGCGGTGTTATTATTAAAATATTTCCCAGATCAGCTCATGGTCCACAGCGGCAAAATTAAACCATGTTGTACCAAGCAGCACCAGTGTTTCAAGATGAATTTAAAAGCCAGGGACACATTAAGGGGAATAATATACTGTACTTTCAGAGACCCTTACTAAGGTGACAGCAATGATGCTGAACACCTCCAGAACATTTTACAGAGGCTTCAACAATGTGGGCTCAAGCTTCTTGGACCTGCACAGATATCACAATAAGATTCAAGCTGTCATGAAGACCCTCAGCCCATCTGATGCATCTCAGTTGGGATCTTTCCTGCAATATGTGAATTAGTACAACAGATTGTTTACAGATCTCATGACAAAACTTTTTTTATCTATGACATCTACTTCTGTTAAGGCTGAACGCCGTAGAATAAGCAGGACCCTATGTGGCGCGTGTTGTTTTTCTGGAAGGCAGACAAATCGGAAAAGTTCAGTCCAAAAGAGTGAAATCCAAAGGTCAAAGAACTTGGTCAAAAATCCGGAAGAGTTGTTCAGGAGAAATGCGTGGAAGGAGTTTGCCGACAGGCAACGAGCTCACAAGAGCAGCAGCCATATTACCAGCAGCCATATAACCCTGCAACTCACAACTGGCAACCCATTGAAGCTAAGCAGGTGTCAGCCTGCTCAGTACCTGGATGGGAGACCTCCTGGGAAAAAATAAGGTTGCTCCTGGAAGAGGTGTTAGTGGGGCCAGCAGGGGGCGCTCACCCTGCAGTCCATGTGGGTCCTAATGCCCCAGTATAGTGACGGGGACTCTATACTGTAAACAGGCGCCGTCCTTCAGATGAGATGTAAAACCGAGGTCCTGACTCTCTGTGGTCATCAAAAATCCCCCAGTGTCCTGGTCAAATTTCCCATTGGCCCTTGCCCATCATGGCCTCCTAATAATCCTCATGTATAAATTGGCTTCATTACTCTGCTCTCCTCCCCACTGAAAGCTGGTGTGTGGTGAGCGTTCTGGCGCACTATGGCTGCCGTCGCATCTTCCAGGTGGATGCTGCACATTGGTGGTGGTGGAGGGGAGTAAATCCCTTTGAGTGGAGTGTCCAGAAAAGCACTATATAATTATTATTAAGAGAGAGGGACTGCAATACCGAGTGTGGAAACATGGGACATGAGGGTTTAAATAGTGAAAGAGACAGGTGTGATAGTTTGACAAGGTGATGAGGTTAGTGGCAGGTGCATCGTAACAACTTCTACAAGATCCATCCATACTGGTCAAATTTGACTGTGATACCTAATCGAAGAACCTAAAATAAAAATTATGCTACACGCCGATAAGAATTGATAATGTGAGAAGGGTTTGAGCATTCACAATACAGCTCAAGAATGTTTCTGGTTGTTCTTTACTGAGCTGGTCACATGTGAGCTTTCTTGACTCATGAAATGGAGGATGGCATTGAAAAGCTTTTACATTTTTCATTGTTATCTCTCTCAGCAAAAAAAAAAGTCCAGAAGGAGAAGTCTTAAAATTAGTTTAGGGTGTAAAAATCTATAATCAGAAGCGAATGAGTGTATTCAAAACAAGACCAGTAGGAGGCTACAGCTATGATATTAGTGCAAGCAAACTTTCAGGTATGTGAATGTAGATAGATTGTCTATCTAGACAGAGCCTTTTATTTAAATTGCTGTGGATGTTGATCTCTTTGACACCTTTTCACTCACCAAATGAAAATTCCTCCTGTAAGTGCTGGGATTATGCAAAAAATTAAATTCAGAGAGATATCAGCTCAACTGTATAGTGCCTCTCATTATTAGTACCAAAATCAACTTGCATAGAGGGCTGAGGTTTATTGTAGTTGCTAAACTATAATCAAAAGTGCTGGAAGAAATTCATATTGGACATCCAAATGAAGGCCTGTTAGATTATTTGGCACAGGATCCATGTCAGGTTTTTCATTCCTTCCAAAGGGACAACATTTTTGGTGATGCTTGATGCTTTTTCCAAATGTTTGAAGTGTTTGTCATGCATTTCACCAGCTCCCTCATACAGTACAATAAAAGTGCTACATGTTCCTTTTGCTTGTACTAGAGATTTGGAGATTCTGAACAGCCTATTACAGTATATTAAAGGACCACATTTTTCTCATCTGGCATGTTCACAACGCTTTGGCAGAAAAATAGCATTTGACACATAATATTTATACTACAGTATATTATCCTTCTACAAAGGAATTGTCTTAGTGGTTTGATAAACTCTTAAACATTCACTTCAGGTCTGGAATAATAGGGACTAATAGGTAATAATATGTGAGTAAATTAGTGAATCAGATGCTTTATAACTTTGCTTGCTTATTGCAATGCAAAATCATATACAACAAATTAGGCTCCTATAATTTTATGCCTTAGTCATATTTTATTATCCCAATTAGATTAGTTAATAAATCTTTGTTAGACATGGGACAGACTATCAGGAAACCTCTCAGAAGTGTAATTAGAAGTGGATTTATTAATATTGTTATACAGTATAAGAACTGGATTGCCTAAGACATGTTGTTATGATATAATCTTTAATTACAGCCATTTCTGTACTTCGGGGAGAATTGGGTAAGTGTCCTATTTTATTATGATGTCCTTCATTATAATGACTTACCTGTAGGAACTTCATTATGATGTTATTTCTTAGACTGAAGTTTAGTGAGTAACTATATTTACTATATTGGAATAGGTGGTGCTGTAGTATACTTTATTATATAACGGTGACCTGTACTAAACTGTCCTGTGTAAATTTCACTGTAATCAATCAAGTCATTAAACTACTGTATACCCTACTGTACTCTAGTCATAGTCCTGAACTGACATTATTTGCGTTGCTTTACTGCAATGCAATGCATTATTGTAACTTGAATGTCCTTCAGTGGACATTACTGTAGTATAATGTAATCCAGTGCTGTGTAAGTGTACTGTTAAGATAATCAACAGGCACAGCTGTAACAAATGTAGTACACAAGACACATATGAATATGCAGCATAATCATCTTTTATCATTCTACCACAGTGCAAACTCCAATGTATTATTAATTAATTAAGGTTAAGTCTAGTCTGTACTAGGATGGGAGATCTGTGAGGAACAGCACGTTACTGCTGAAAGTGTTGTTGATTGACCAGTTGCCATTACTGTTCTGGACAAGAATTTAAAAATCAATGCCATAGTATTTTGACTAGGAACATTGAATGTGCTTTAGGAGGTGCACCACTTAAGATCCTGACTACTTGATTATTAAAGATCCACTGGGACTCTCCTTCAGAGCAGGGCTGTTAAAACAAGCTTACCTGGATAACTTCTACTTTGGGCTTGTTCAATTTGGGCTTCCTAAATTTCCTGCTTAATTAAATGATGACTCAATCCCTCAACTGTGTATCTCTCTTTGGCCCCTATCTGTATGGGTATGTTCTTTCCTCCTGAATTCCCATAAAGTCACAATTGGTATTTGTAGTCTAAATCCATGTGTTTCAATTCATAATGCCATTTGATGTTTTCAGTTTTATAACGGGCACAGTCACAATAAGAAATACATAAATAATCACATCTGGAGTGACTGACTTAGTTATTGGTTAATTGGTGAAGGGCTGAGTGATTCACATTCTTATGTGCATATCATTTGACTTCTGTTTAGCATTTAAAGGGCTAATGGTACTTTCAGTTTGTTAATACAGTTGTAAGAACATGAAAAGGTCTGTAATAAACCCTTCTGGAATCATTTCTTCTTTTCACATTTTTCTATTTTGAGTTTTTGTGCATACACAGAAACCTCCCCAATTGAGGGTAGGATTTTTTCACAAATTGGTACTGAAAACTGGGAGCATCTTAGTTCTGAAAAATGCAAAACTGCTACTTTAATTTTTTTATTTTCTATAATTTTTAACTACATGATGGCCTTATCCTGATACTACATCTGATTTCAGTAGACCTGAGCTATCTCTATAAAAGATGTGGTGAGGTCCAAGCTTCTGAAATGGGCAGTAGGCCAAGAAGGACTGGCAGTGTCTCCAAAGTATAGGCTGGACAAAAAATGATTGCTACCCTTTACGTGATTAATTTTCTGCCTTTCTTAGGTCTCAAAGGGACAGGTTAACTTGGATATGTATAAAAAAGAAACAAAAGAAATTGTTTATCTGGTGTATTTGATACCTGCCCTTCATGTCATACGTTCTTTGAATATTTGCTTTGTTTGTTGGTTAATTTTTTTCTCAGTGGAGTTTGGATCAGGCTGCCATTCACTAAAAGCCTTGCACTTATGATCCCAAGTAAGGCGTAGTGAGGAGATGACATTCAAATAGAAACTTCTTCCTGGCAATGGGCTAATTCCAGAGTCTACCATCTCTTTCAAATCTGTTGTAATCTTTAAGAGAATTAATCTGTCTCCCCTCAATATTCCCCAAAAAATGTAGGCAAAATTAGCTTAGCAATGTTTCTTAGTATCAGTGAGAATAGGCTCTTATGTGGTAATCGCATAAGTATCATTGTTCCCTGATAATATGACAAAAGAGCTATATAGGGTATGTATAGTAACTTAATGCTTAAATTCCATCTAATGTCACATTTAATTTTTACAGATACTGTGATGTGTGCTCCTATCCCTAAATCAGGTACTGTATGTAAACTCTGTACCATATCTGAAGTCTTGTACTACAATTGTTACTAGACATTCTATGCCCATTGTGGAGTCCATTGTGTGGCTGTAATTAACAGTATCCGTATCTCTGTGTTCCAGAATGGGAGTACCTGCGCAGTGCTGCAGGTATGACTGTTTCATGATGAAGATAAAGACCCACTTAATACTGTTATTGTTTTGCACAGGAGCTGCTTTAAACCCATTTTCTGAGGTTAAAGATAAGAGTGAGAGTCTCTCTAGTATATGATTAAAATCAGTTTGTTACTCCTGGTGTGAAAAGTGCTCTAGCTGTAGGTCACTCCCATGATGCCCTAAAATCCCACACTGAAACTCCCTGGGAAGATCAATCATGGCTTTGAAGTTTCTGATTTCTGTGTTTTTTAATGGTTAGTAGGGAGTTCCCACCCAGAAGTGCAGACAGTTTTAACCAAAGAACATGTGCTATGACCTAACACCTTATTCAGGAACTATAGGCTGAATGTGACAGACTTAGGGTACCCGGATTTGGAAATAACTCTCAACTAACAGTAGGAATCAGGAGTGGAGCGTTTTTACCTGATGAGGTCTAAAGAGAGACTGAGGTGGGATAGACAGAATATTGTCTTAAAACTGGTTAAGACTTTTTACTTAATACTTTTTTTTTAATACACATTTATGGACATGCTGTACCAATGCTACCCAGTAGTGGAGAGTAAAAATATACACTGTATTTAAACAGATGTGTTTTTGACTTAATCACAACAGCAGTTTAGTAGAAATGCTTTTATTATAAAGCTAGATACTAATATTAACAAGAACAATAAACAGAATAAGACTTCTGCAAACTTCTGGGTAAACAATACTGTTTATTATTGTATAATAAGATTTGAACTATTGTATTTTAATTAGCCTATTGTAAACACAAGGAATGTGAAACAACAGAACACTATTTGAAGCCAAATAAACAACTGACCATAACAAAGTGCCAAAATTCCCAACTCATTGAACCAGTGGTTGAAGTCAAACCCATATACTATATATATACAGTACAATGACTAGTCTAATTATACAGTATAAAACAGAATGAAGGCTCCACAGCTGAAACCTTGTGTTTTCTTTCTTCTCTTTTCAGCATGGAATAAGCCTATTACGTGTTCCATATCTAGCATAAATTTATATGATTTAAAATCTTAAATAAACTTTCTCTTATAATAAAATTCTTATTAAGTATACTAGTGGCAATCTGTTACATATTCACTTTACGTTCACAATCTCTTAAACTCATAGCTAGTCAGTTATATCAATGATATCAATTATAGTTAAAATCAGACCATTGTTAATACTATGAAGTCAGTCAGTGTCTCAGTGGTTTGTTTTAATTTGAACAACTCAGATATGTCAAGGTCAGTTCCTCTTCATGGGGCAGGGGTAATAACTTTGGGGCCTTTGGGGTAACAACTCTGGCATCAGTCTCTTCAGCCCAATTAGTGTTCTCAAATGGTCCTGGACGTTAAGTGACACACGGGCGTGTTTAATTAAGAATGACATTGGCGTGTAAATATTATTTCATTCTTACTGCATGGTGAGTGTGACATAGGAGTTCTCTTTCTAGGACAATATACTGTATAGGGTATTTTGTGTTTCCACACTACTGATAATAACTAGAATAACTATAACAATAATAGATCCCTCTGTGGAATAAGTCAATGATTGATACAGTGTCCAGTTCTACAATGGACATGTGAGAAATATCAGTGGTTGTTAGCTTCAGGGAGTGTCCCTGATGACCCTGATGTCCCTAACTCAATAACTCAATAAATGTCCTCTGCTTCACCGACACCTTTACTTTTATATTACGCTAATAATTGAATTGGACTATATATTTATAGGTCTTATAGAAAAAAATAAGCATATTACAAAGGCAAAATTTGACTATTCTTTTCATATAATAAAATAATCCAGTTTGTTTTCAAGAAAGAGTGTTTCTCTGTCCTCCTGATATTTCTTGTTTTATTCCCACAGCTGATGTGACTCTGGACCCTGACACAGCTCACTATGAGCTCACCCTGTCTGAGGATAGGAAGAGAGTGAGATGGGAAGAGAAACAGGATGTCCCTGACAAAGCGAAGAGATTAGGTTCTGGACCATGTGTCCTGAGCAGGGAGGGCTTCACTTCAGGGAGACACTACTGGGAAGTGGAGGTGACTGACCTGTGGAGAATAGGGGTGACCAGAGAGTCTGCAGAGAGAAAAGGGAGATTCAGCTTCTCTCCCCAGTGTGGTTACTGGGTGCTGGAATGTAACTCTTCACATCTGAGAAATCAGCCAAGGATGGTGGGTGTGTGTGTGGATATTGATGAACGAAATGTCTCCTTTTACACAGTAGAGTCTAGGACACATATCTACAAATTCACTGACATGGTATTCAATCAGGGGGAGAAGATCTACCCAGTCTTCTGGACCTGGGATGAGAATAAAGAACTTGTGCTTCTGCCTCTTGTTAGCTGTGGATATTGAAAATTTGATCAGTTCATGAAGTTTTCTCATGACACTTTCAGTCTTAATATTAATGTTTTTTATTACTAACACAGTTTTTTATTGTTTCATTTAGTGTCTGTGTGGAGGAGACAGGATGGTCTCCAGACAGGATGGTGTCTTTCTTGTTTTAAAAACTATATTTCTCTGACTGCTCACTGTGGATTACTTATAATTTAATGTCTGGCTGTGACATGAGGTCATGTACTGCACATTTGGATCTGTTGTGTTTCCTTAACACTACACCAGCATGAGTGAATTGTTTTTCTGATGCTGGCAAGATGTGGTAATTTTGAGATTTGATTGGTCATTTTATAGAAGGATATTTGTTTAATCTCTAATCTTTACAACTTTGTTTCTATTGCTGCTTCTTCCTGCCAGCAGTGGGAGCATAGTTCTCTCTGGCCAGCTAGATCTGCCTTTGTTGTCCTTTTCCTGTGGATGGGCACTGTCTTCTCTGAGCAGCCAGGTCTGCCTGTTTCAGACATTGTCTTTTGCTGGGATGTTGTCATTGTACCCCTGTCCCCTTTTTTCAGCCAGATCTGCCTGTGTTAGCCAGTGTCTGTGGCCAGGCTGTGATCACCCTGTCCTTTCTGGCAACTAGTTCTGTCTGTGTTGCCCACTGTTTAAGGCCAAGTGATGGACATTGAACCTATCCTTTCTGGCCAGCCAGGTCCACCTGTCTTGCTCAGTGTCTTTGGACAGACTATAGTCAGACTGTAGTCACTGAGCTTCTACTGCTTTAAGGTCTGTTTATTCTTGTTGCTTTTCATGTTTGGCTTGTGTTGTGATTTGATTGATGCTAGATCTGCTGCTGGTCTGCAACTTTAAAGAACAGGATGAAAACCACCCAATCCTGAAACAAACCAACTGTTACATACTACATGAAGCCATGCTGTATCAAAGAGTAAGAAACCCCAACAATCGGTCCTGCTGAGCAAACCCAATGCTGTGTGTATTGAGCTCAATAAAGACTGAATTTGCACAATGGTTTTTCATGCTTTTCCTTTGAAGAATTTCCCACAACAATTTGGCATTACGAGCAGGGTATGTACATTTTTTCATGTTATAACCCAATTAAGGAGCAACAGAGGAAAGACCAGAGTCATAGGAAAAATAAAATAACTTCTTAAGCGAAAAAAGTGGAGACCAACACAAAATTCAATTCCTCTGAGCTTTGGTTTTGAACCAAGGACAACACAAGATTCTCTGAACTGGGGCAGATAATTAACCCAGGGTGCTTTTCCCCTGGGGTGAGTCAAAGTCCCTAAACAGAACAAGGCTAAGCAAGGGTAAAGTCCTAGTGAGATGCCCTGTGTATTAACAGTTTGAGAACCCGTGAATTCTGACCTGTTTATTAAGGGGGGGAATTGACGAATAAGTGTCACAAAAGTGATTGTCTGTTTCCTGCCTGTGATATTTATAATCTGTCTGCTACTTTACTGGCAGCATTGATAGATTGGGACACTGCATCTAGTCTGGATAAATCAGGGTCCACCAGCTGGACCGCATCATGGTGAAATATTGAAAGACAAAAGAAAAATGACGGAGGGAAAGTGGAAGCCAAAATCTTGTATTTGAAGACAATAAAGTAAAAAAGAAAAATAATTTTAATAAACTGTTTTGAGAAAATGGAAAAGGAAATTAAAAAAAAAACATAAAGAAGGAACAATGCCTAGGTGTGCAGGCGGTATTGAGCCTGGAACAATGAAAAAATAAATTGGATGCTTTAAAGCACAAAATATGAAGAAATATATATATATATATTGCATCACACTGCACATAAACAACTCTGGTTTATTCCCACGGTCCAAAGACTGTGTCACAAAGACTGTTCGAAATGAAGCATTTAGAAAATGGATGGTTGATTGTAAAGCTGTGGTGGAATTGAGAGAAATGGTGTTTCAAACAGACACATGCTGAAATGGAAATGGAATGGAGATCTTGGAAGCAGGTCTTGAAGTGAAAAATAAAAAAATGTAGTGACATTATCCACTTGAGCTGTCTTAAAACCTTAATGTTGGAACTTGAGAGAAGGGCTCAAGGTCCTCTTTGGAACTTGAAATACAAATGTTATAGGAAACAGACTTAATTAAGGGTTATAAAAATAAAAATAGCAAATAGAGGAATAATGAGTACTGAGTAGGATAATCAATAATTAAAATAAATAATCATAACCTCCAAAATTGCTTTTTTCAAAATACACCTGAGCAGTTTCAGTCTCAGTCTACAGTTTCAGTAAGCGGCACTTGAGATCTTTATTCTCTGGCACAGCTACTGAAAAAAAAATGAGAGGCAAACTGAGATCAACAAATATTTAAATATTTTTTTAACGATGACAATCAAACTAAAGAACACACAACACAACATACACTACATACCATTCCAGCCTCACAGTGATGGAGTCCTGGATTTATTTCCATAGATGGGATGCTTTCTGTGTGAAGTTTGTATGTTTTCCCAGTGTTCCTTTTACAGTCCAAAAACACACCGGTAGATTATTTGGCTTCTAGGAAAATTAACCCTGGTGTGTGAGAGAGTAAGGTGTCGCAGCTATTTGGGTATCACAGATATAAGTTACAACTACAATATGCAGAAACCAGCCAACTATGCCATCTGGAGATTTTAAGGGTGCACGGGCCCTTCTCACCACAAAGTACCTTTCAGAGTCACAAATGCACTCTGCACAAGACAATAGTACAACATAATTTTATTAGTCTAGCAATTGCATGAAATCACTTCCTGATTCACTACTTCAATATCTACCTCATACACTGTAAAAAGTATCCATACTTGCAAGGCCACACATGCAAAAGCAAACATGAAATTCATGGTCCCAAATCAAAAGTCCCAAACAAATAAAATGTCCAACAGCACCACTGTGCAAAATAGGCCCTATCTAGTATCCTGGTGTGCCACCACACTTGCCGCAACAGCTCCCCCACAGCACGTCTTGTCTCCTCCCTGCGCTTGGCCCCCGCACTCCCGCCAGCGCCCACCCCGCCAACTGCCCCGAGACTCGTGGCCCTGGTCGGCCCCAGCGATGCCAGCTGCTGTCCCCTCCGCTTCCCACTCCAGTCAGCCCACGCGCCCCGGACACCCCCTACCCCACCCCACCCTCCACGAGACAAATCCCCACCAACTCCCGCTGGCCCAAGTCTAGGCAGCCACCCACCTGCTGCAACCAGTCCAACCCCAGGATACAGTCCTCATGGACTGGGGTGAGGTAAAAGGGGTGTTTCACCCTCTCGGCCCCAAACTGCATGGTCAGCGCCCGCTTGCCGAGGACCTGAGCGCACTCTCCCGTCACCATTCTCAGGCTCAGGCTGGTGGTCTCCCATCCTGGGGGCTGGGCTGTCGCAGGGTGATGGTTGAGCTGGTGTCAACCAGGGCCTGGCAGTGCCGCCCCTCGATGGGGCAGGGGAGGAAAAAACACCGGTCACGCTCAATCCTTCCCATGGTGGCAGGCAAGGTGTAGCATTCCTCTGGCCTCTCCAGAGCGGGAATAGTGTCATTCAAGACCACCCCACTCCCATTTCCCAGTGGCTTCTGGCGGCTTTGGGGCTCCGGCGCCCAGCACTCCCAGGCAAAGTGCCCCCTCTCCCCACATAGGTAGCAGGTGACCGGCCATTGCTGGTCTGCTGATGTCGCCGCACTGGTCATCTCCTGCTCCCCACCCGATTCCTCCGATGCGGCCTCTGCCTCCCAGCAGGGAGCGCCCTTCCGGCTGTGCCCGCTGGTCTCCTCAAACATGGCATAGGCCTGCTCAGCCAGAGTCAAAGCCCAGTCCAAGGAGACCAGTGCAGCGAGCATCATGTGGTGCTGCAGCTCCGTCGGTGCCAGGGGCCTGAGGAATGCCTATGTCCCGGTGGACCACCTCTGGGAGGGTGGGGCAGCCCTGGCAGGCTATGTAGGTCACATCTGCAGCAACCAGCCCCAGGGGCTCTCCCAGTAGGCGCCGGCGTTGGGCCAGCTTCACCCACAGCAATCCGGGCTCCTTCCCTCTTCTGCTGAAATGCCTCCAGAGGGCCGATGCCAATGCTGTGTAGCTGTAGCACTGGTCTCCGGGGACATCCAGGAAAGCGTGGCAAGCCTTTCCTTCCTAAGCTGCGGTGAAGTGGCCTGCCATCTCCATCTGGGACCAGCCATTTGCCCAGGCAGCCATCTGGAACTGGGCCTCATACTGTTGCCACGATACCTCCTCGTCAAAGTAGCTCGGCTGCACCTGCTGGTGCATGAATGGCCGTCCGGTCCCCACTGCTACGACGTCCCCCTCCCACCACTTCAGCTCAGGTGGTGCAGGAGACAGTCCCTCCTCCACCAGGCAGGCCACCACTGGGTAGCCCTGAGAAGGGCTGCAGCCACAAGTGGTGCCCAAGTGCCGATCTGGCTCTTGATAGCTGCTGCTTGCCCCCAGGAGGCGCTTAAGGGTTCGCTCATCTGCTGGGGGAACTGGCACTTCTCTGAATCTCATGGGAGTCCAGCTCAGCAGCAACCACACAAGAAATAAGACCCCACAAAACAGAGTACAACACACAAGGGTCATTTCGGGTACAGGTACGTGGGTATAGGGTGGTAAGTGGCACAGGTATAAAAGGGGTGCAAAGCTGGGGGTTAACTATTTACACTATCCGGGCAACCTCTCACCGTGTACAGCCGTTCCAGAGGCTCCCTAGTCCCCGCCTTGGCTGTCATTCCCATCCTGCCCTTCACCGCGCTCTCCAGCCACAACGCCAGGCGAGGGCGCCACAACATCAATGACTAATTTTTGTAACACATCCAATTTCTGGAGTTTTTCAGAAATTGAGGCAACTTTTTCAAGAAGAAAGTGCACATCATGTTCAGACACCATTTTGACTTCCTCAGCTTCACTTGAGTTAAGAATCTCTCGATATGATCGTTTATTTTCACGCTCAGATTTATTCATATTTGAATACTGTAACTCATACGGCCGACATCACAGGTTGTGCAAGCCGGCTTGCCAGCGCAGTGATGTCGCCGCCCTTCCCTGTGAATAACTTAAAACTTAAAACTTACCGAAGAAGGGTGATTTGCTATGGGCTGAGCATCTGAACATTGTACGTTTTAACATTGCACGTTTCACCACTTTTGATGGTGCAAAAAATAGGTTTTTGTCCCTGCTTAGAGTTAAAAAATTGATTGTATTATTATGTATTGAAGGATTTGATTTGATTACAAATATTATATACAGCCCCTTTAAAAGCTTGCATCGCAAAACGTTTTTCATTGAATAGAAAAAACAATCTAAGAAAAAATTATGGGAATAACAATTGACAACAGTATAAATGGAAGAAACGTACTGCAAAATTAATGAACATTTTGATTTACAATTCAAAAAAGTACCCTAAAAAATAGGCAGATTGTTCAAGGAATTACAAGTAACCATGAAGAAATAACAAAGCAGGTGTTTTATCTGCTTGTCACTTCGCTTAATGTTGCTATACCCCTCATATGCTACTGTAGTGATTGAAGGACTTTATTTTGATTAAAATTTGGCTATTTGCATACACTTCCTGATCATTCGCGTTGTTTAATGTCGCTAGCTAGACGCTCCTTTTTTACCTCTGGGAAATACCTGTAACGCTCTCGGGTTCACGTGTGCGCCCTCGCAGCTGCCTCCTCAGGTCGGCCCCCCACCATCAGGGACTCGAACCCAGACCTCCACCGTCACTCAACAGGGACCCAGCCACTTGAGCCAAAGGGAAATCTCCCGTCAGCCCGGCAGCTGCGGTCCCTGCTATTCACAGAGAAGGGTGGTGACGTCACCGCGCTGGTAAGCCAGCTCTCACAAGCAATGGAGGCCGTATGCATTACACTCTCCCCCGCTTAACTCGCCGTTCTCGGTGGAGGGCTATCCCATCCCGCTTCTGACACCAATGTAACGTTTTGAGGTTCACATGGGCACCCTTGCCACTGCCGCATCAGGTCGGACCCCCACCATCGGGGACTCAAACCCGGATCTCCGGC